TCTGCTCTAATTATTGCACACTGTAAAACCCCAAAAAAGATAAGGTAACTCAAACCATTTTAAGTTCCAAAAGTTATCCTTATGTGTACTGTGAACTTAATTCATTTGAGTAAAAGAAGCACTTTGAGCACAGTTAAACTCAATAAATAAAGAGAACTCAAACCAACTGAGTACTTTAAAACCCAATAAGCTAAAGAAGCTCAAACCGTTTGAGGAAACAGACTCAAACCATTTGAGTTGAAAAACTAATCTATATGAGTACTGTGAACTTACTCCATTTAAATTGAAGTAATGAGGTATTTAATGAACTCAATACCTTCAACACTGAGTTCAAAACTCTTTTCAAATTAACTTTCAGTCAATTTTGAGTTAGCAACACTCGTTTCATTTGATACATTTGATTATTGGGTTTTACAGTGCAGATATTAAAGCTCTAAAAAAGTCAAATTGGGATCAACTGAATCTCCACCTGTGAATTTAATCTTTCTTGTCAACCATATTGCTAACGTTGCTTCACCCACTAAAAAAAATACCAAAGATATAATTTTCTAGTTTCTGGCAGCATATTTAGAATCAAATCTGAGACATTTTATGGGCTAAACACTTAATAATATCTAAAATACTCTTCTTAGTTCTAAAACAGTATGAACAATGATCTATTAGCTTATCATCATTACAAAAAACACATTTATTTACTACATTTGGATCAAATAATTCCTGTTTGTGTGTATGTGAGAGAGATGATGTTGTCGCGCCATTGTTTAGAATGTTACAAAGCTGAAGGTCAGTAAAGCAGGACACAGTTATTCCCTCAGCCTTCATATCCATTAGCAGTGTAACAGGAGATGGGATCTCTGTCTCTGTGTGTCTGCCCTTCACCCCCCTCCTCCTATCAAGTGTGTGCGTTGCTTGTCCCAGACCCACCCTATTTCCTTGCCGAAGCATGTCTTTTATATGGAATTTATAATACTCACCCAATGTATTCTAATACTTACCTAATGTAATAATACTCACCCAACGCTGATTCCAGTGTTTAAAAGCTGCTGGAGAATTATCTATGCACTTTCAGTATGTCTGTCCAGCTAAATTTATGGAGAAATCAATAATATCTCTGCTGAGCTCGGCTAAATGAGCTGTTCCCATAATACAACAAATGCTGTTTGTCAAAAGCTTAGCATCAGATCTTTAGGGAGGACTGGGAGAGAGAGAGTTTCTGTATAGGAAAAGGGTTTGATGTTTCATAGCCATTAGTTTCTCTGGGTAATCGGTTTATTGATGACCGATTCATGGTTCATTGCTGCCCTCTATAGGTGGTTGGAGAACGTTTTGGTCAGTTTGTGCAGATGTCTGTATATAATCATGTTATTTTTTTAGACTAAGGCCTATTCCTAATTCTACTTTTGTACCCCTACCCCTTAACCTTCCCCTTGGCCCTTAAAATAAAAAGTGTGTGAAGGGGAAGAGCTTCAAAATTTTGCCATAAGGAATGGGACAGCACTACAGCACCTGCACACATCATGTCATCACACTCTCTTACTTCATATGAGATCAGATGATTGTTACTGTAGTTATTCCAGTTGCGTTATTTTTTGGTATTTATCTTCAGGAAATCACTGAAGGCAAACATTGTGTTATCATAACGATATAATGTGGCAATAAGATCATAACTATACTGTGCAAACACATGAAAACAACATTAACATTATAGCAGACACTGTAAAAAGGTAATTCCCAGCCACTAGACTTTTCTGACAGGGTATCGAGTGTCATCGAGTGTCATATGTGAAAGTATGTTTTGGGACTGCTAAACAGGAATTATTATTATGGATTAGCTACTTTTATCGGTTTTTATTTAAGTTTTTTTTTTAAGTATGACAATAAAACACTAACGCCGTTATGAATGTATTAAAACATATTCTTATTTGTTGTAAAAATGTGTAACAATGACAAAAAAAATTGTGTGCATCTCCTTACTTCCCTATGCAGCCATGCTAGCGTTGTGGCTGGTGTATTCTGGGAAATTTTCTTACCTATTGGTTATGAGTGTGGTCCTGAAAAATCTCAGTTATCTAGCCCTTCCCCTTAGCCCTACACCTTCAAGCTAAAGAGAATTGGGACACCCCTACCTCTTCACGTGAATGCGCAAAACAAGCGGTAAGGGTAAGAGGAAGGTCTAAAGGCAGGGGTCACCAATCTCGGTCCTGGAAGGCCAGTGTCCCTGCAGGGTTTAACACCAACTTGCTTCAACACACCTGCCTGGATGTTTCAAGTATACAAAGTAAGACCTTAATTAGCTTGTTCAGGTGTGTTTGATTAGGGCTGGAGCTAAAATCTGCTGGACACAGCCCTCCAGGAACAAGTTTGGTGACCACTGGTCTAAGAGGTAGAATTGGGATTGGACCAACGTGTTTGACTGCACAGCTTTAATTAACTGGGTTTCTTTCTAGATAGGCTACTGCCTTCGAAGTAAACATAATGATCATCACAGCTGTGGTTGTTTAAAATAAAAATGTTCTGCTTAGGCCAAAACTTTTCACCACATAAATAGCTCTGGAGACTAAAGACTAGAGATTAAGCAATTGCTTTGAAATTGAATTGGCCATTATCTTTATTGTTACTAAGCCAATACTCTAATTAGAATAACAATACATACAAGCACAAACAAACACTGGATTGTGTTTTTTTAATTGCACAACTTTTGTAGTACTGAATGAATTATTAGTTTGTTTGTATTCTTCCCTCATTCCCCACCCCTTTTGGAATAGAGCTGCACTTTTTAACTGCAGTCCTGGAAGACCAGATTTTAGTAACTCCAGGCCCAATTTAACCCTCCTCTCTGTCAGCTAATTCTAATCACCTTGGTTGTAAATGAAGGTTCAAGCAGATGGCTTGTTTGTAGTCACTTTGTAGGGATCATTTGTGCATGTGGTTATACATTTAGAAGATTTTTAGACTATTTGAGACAGAGTATCATTAATGATTTACAAGAAAAAGAAAGTTTAAAGTCTGTGTGTGAACTGGAAGTTGGTGAAATTTCGTTTAATTATGTTGATGCATTTTAAGCTGAATGGAATATTGAGTAGGGACTTTGTTTTTGCGCATCATTCTCTTGTAGCAAACTACTGTAAGAAGGTCTGGGCAAGATTACCAAAACAAACTTTTTATTTTTAAAGTAGATTAACTTACACTGATTAATTGTTGCCTAATGAATAACAATGAACACTAGCAAAATAAAAATAGTAAATTTTGACATGGAAATTAAACTCTGGTTTTAACATTCAGTTTTATAAATCTGATCACAGGTGAACAAAGGTAAATACAGTCTAGAAAGTCGTCTGGAACCAACACCTTCTTCCAACTCCAGAACACAATCTTTACCTTTGGACACCCACCGGGAAACTCTAGCACAATCACACAGCAATTTGTACATTTCTGATTTGGCTAATTTGCTTTAATTTGTCTCATTTGTATCTCATTCAATCTCATTCGTACATTCTAGTATGATTTGCTCATCTTCACTAAAAGATAGGGTTAGGGCAGGGGTGTCTGATCCTGTTTTGCAGAGTCCAGCTGTAACCTTGATCATACACACCACACCTGTCTACTTTACGAAGTGCTCTTTTAGATCCTAGTAAAGTCATGGTCACACTGCACCTTTTAGCCCAAAGAATTTTTTTTCCAGACTGGAAACGCAAGCTCGTGCTATACGTTTTGCATGTCACTACATAGCAAAGTTCAAGCTTGGTGAACTCGGACTTGCAAAATTGCATTACGAGGAGCTAAAATATGGAGCAATCGCTCGCTTTTTTTAACTTCTAATCAATTTGCTTAATCCCACCCCTTTTTGCAGTGCCATACGACAGAAATCGCAAGATCAAATTCTGCTGTGACCGTGGCTTTAGTTGGTTTTGTGTTTGGAGCTGAAGAGCTGATCAGAGTTGAAGCTGAACTCAGCAGGACGCTGAATCTCCAGTAGCCGGATTGGGCACCTGTGGGTTAGGGTATGGGGTTTGGGAAATGCCTCCTTTTAAAAATCATACATTTTCAGTCAAGTGAAATCTTATTAATTTGTAGGAATTAGTCACTTTTCTGACAAGACAAAAAATAGTTACATTTCCTCAAGAGATAAGGCTGGAAATCAACAGGAATATGATATTTACTGAGGGATCCAATAGAATAGTCTTTGCAAAGGCCCATATTTCTTAGCTATTACTCTATGATTGTTAAGGTGGACAAACAATAATGCATTTCGACTGACCACTTGTGATCGCATCACTTAAAATGAGGGCCTGAGTTGACAGTATGGGACATGATCATTGAATTCGACATACCTTGATAGCTTTCTACCCACATTTTACACTTTACAAATACAGCCCATGATTAGCTTGTTTAACTGTGGGGTAGAGTTGCCACGCTACTGGAATTCGATATCAATCTGTACTGAAATTTTAAAAACGTCCATTTCCGGGGAACATTTGAGCGATGTTGAGTATGTTCTTAAACACAGCTGATTTGCTATTAAGTTCACATACTCGATAGAAATTACTGTGTTTGGCCGTGAAGGTCATCGGTTCACCGAACTCACCAATGTTTACTTAGTGTAAACACAGATACAGCACCACTGGAGCGTTTTAACGCCACAAACCAGCTGATCGACGTGACTTTGAAATGCTCCAGTGTCCCTGTATCAGTGGTTACACTCAGTAAACAGCAGTGAGTTCGGTAAACAGATGACCTTCACAGCCAAACACAGCCACTTCTGTTGAGCACGTGAATACAATGGCAAATCTGCGCCGTATATGAATGTGCTCCATAGTGATCAAATGTTTACCTGAAGCTTTTAAAATTTCAGTACTGATTGGTTTCGAATTCCAGTATCGTGACAACACTACTGTGGTGTAAAGTTCAGCAGGAGGCTGGTCTTCCATTACTAGAGTTGAAGTGCTCTTGCTTAGAGCATCTCTTTTTATCTTGCCGCATAACATTCTCTTCTCCCTCAGATGATGGCGAGGCTCGCTGCAGAGAGCTGCACCAGCGCTGTGAGGAGCTGGAGGCTCAGCTGAAGGCTAAAGAGCAGGAGAACACAGAGCTCCTGCGGGACCTTGAGCAGAAGAACGCTATGATCTCTGTTTTGGAAAACACCATCCGAGAGCGAGAGAAGAAGTACCTGGACGAGCTGAAGCTGAAGAGCCACAAGTTGGCTGTGCTGTCTGGAGAGCTGGAGCAGAGAGCCAGCACCATTGCCTACCTCACGTCCCAGCTCCACGCCACCAAAAAACGCCTTCTTGCTGGTGGTGCAGCAGGAATAAGCCCCTCCGTTAGTCCTGTTGGTTCTTTCAAACCCACACCACCTCCAGCTCCATCGGGAAACGACAAGGACGTCCGGCAACCTGAGACCCCTCGCAGGCGCATGCGCAAAAGTCTCTCACAACCACTACACTCCGAATACACGGAGCTCTACCGTATGGGCGCCACAGACGGCCGCAGGGTGGTACTTCGGGATTCGGTAGATGCTATGCCAGATCCCACACCCTTCCTGCAAGCCAGAGAGCCAGCAGCTCCGGCAGAGTCTCAGCCAGTGTTGAGGGAACGCCCCTCTGTGATCCCGCCCATCGCTTCTTCTGCCACTCCCCCTGCACCATCAAGCCCCGCCCACATCCCCATACCTCCAAGTCCAAGGAACAGCCCAGCACGGGAGGGTCCGCATTCCCGAGCTAATGCACATATAGGAGTAGCGCATCGCATCCACCGCTCGCCCTCAGCGGGTGGAGGAGCAGCCCGGCAGCAGGCGGAGGTGGAGACCCTCGCTGTGGACCAGGTCAACGGGGAGCAGGTGGTTCGCAAACGCTCAGGTGCAGACAGAACTGTTTAAGTGCGCACATTTACACACTCTTAAACCTAGTATATAAACATAGTCGTATTAAGACCGATGCAGTATATGCGGAACTGTTTATGACTGTGAAAACACACACGTACAGACGCGCAAATCATCAACATATCACTAGTTTATAAACATATTAAACAGACACGCACCCTTAACACATCACAGATAGTTTTAAACAATTTACAAACACATTCACACAGCACAAACCTGGAAAATGCTGAACGATACACACTGGAAATGAACGCAGATTCAGGCAAAGACTAAGAGAATGTGTTTAAGGTGGAAGATGGAGAGACTACGGATGGCAGCAAGAGCTTGTGTATGTCCTGCTGCTTTTTATGCAACACTGTATAAACGAAATGTAAAAGACTTTTGTTCATGGTCATTCGATTAACTGCTTTGTCTCACGTCAGTTGACAAGGAAAACTGTGAGCATGCCAAATGTTTATTTCCCATTAGACTTTTACCGACTTCTCCGCACTTTCTGTTCCTGACTTCAGCAGTCGTCCCACTCTGTTTTAACTCAAGGTGCAGCCACACACACACACACACGCGAGCGCACTCATATATATTGCCAAATCTCATCATTGCCTGCTGATTTAATGTGTTCTGATGCATATTCATATCTACTCATATTTATTCATGAGCACTGCAGTAGTACTGGAATCTCCTTCAACTCTCCTTCCCCTCTCACTCTCATACCCACAAGCTAATGTGAACAATCCTGCTGCTCCTTATTAAACACCTAATGAAATAAAAGGTTTCGAAGAGGTCACTTTAATTCGTCATCTCATTCTTGCGCTTGGCTATTAATGACACTCTACATATACAGGGTGGGCCATTTATATGGATACACCTTAATAAAATGGGAATGGTTGGTGATATTAATGTCCTGTTTGTAGCACATGTGAGGGAGCAAACTTTTCAAGATTAGTGGTGACCATGGTGGCCATTTTGAAGTCGGCCATCTTGGATCCAACTTTTGTTTTTTCAATAGGAAGAGGGTCAAAAATACAGTAACACTATAATAAAATAATAGAAATATATCCAATTTAAATAGGCCTCCTACCTAATTCTAAACATGGTGCAGTTAAATTTTAGAATTTTACATTGTAACAATAAAGCCTCATTCACGTTTCACACTACGAGCGACTCGCAGCAAAGCGACAAGTGACCGTTCATTTTAACGGAGAGTGAGCGACTTCTAGCGACCTTCGTCTATGCAAGCCACATCGACCGTTGGTGACCAGGTGAGCCTGTCAAGCGATGCAACAAATTTGAGAATCCTTTAACTTTGTGCAAATTAGGAGCGACTTTCTTGAGTGACAGCCAATAGGAGCTCCAGTAGAGCTCACTTGAACCTCTTTCAGCTTGCCAAGAGGCCGGTTGACAACATAAAGTGTAAGCAAATTAATTAATACTAGTATGCACTAAATAAAAGCTTCCAAATTTCATGATTACTAGTTAGATTAAAATATTTAATCAATAAATGATCCTTATGAAAGTCAAGAGCAAACACTCTAAATCAGTGTTTCTCAACCACGTTCCTGGAGGACCACCATCTTTGCACATTCTCCACATGTCCTTAACCAAACACACCTGATTTTGATCATCGGCTGAGACTGAAAGGCCTGCGATGGGTGTGACAGACCAAGAAAACATCTAAAACATGCAGTGCTGGTGGGCCTCCAGGAACGTGGTTGAGAAACACTGCTCTAAATGTGTTATTGGTAACAATAGTTAGTGACTGCTAAAATAATGAAACGCATTTCTGTTATCGTTTACTCACCCTGTATTTGTTCTAAACCAGTTTGTGTTGTATTGTTCTCCTGAACACAAAATAATGTACAGTTGAAGTCAGAATTATTAGCTCCCTTTGATTTTTTTTCTTTTTTAAATATTCCCCAAATTATGTTTAACAGAGCAAGGACATTTTCACAGTATGTCTGATAATATTTTTTATTCTGGAGAAAGTCTTATTTGTTTTATTTTGGCTGGAATAAAAGCAGTTTTTAATTTTTAAAAAAACATTTTGTCAAATTTATTAGCCCCTTTAAGCAATTTTTTTGATAGTCTACAGAACAAACCATCATTATACAATGACTTGCCTAATTACCCTAACCTGCCCAGTTAGCCTAATTAACCTAGTTAAGCCTTTGAATTTTACTTTGAGCTGTATAGAAGTGTCTTGAAAAAGATCTAGTCAAATATTATTTACTGTCATTATGGCAAAGGTAAAATAAATCAGTTATTAGAGATGAGTTATTAAAACTATTATGCTTAGAAATGTGTTGGAAAAAATCTTCTCTCCGTTAAACAAATTGGGGGAAAAAATAAACAGGAGCTAATAATTCTGACTTCCACTGTTTATTAAAGCATGTTGGAAACCTGTAATTATTGACTCCTGTAGTGTTAGTTTAGCCTATCATAGATGCCAGTACTTACAGGTTTACAACATTCTTCAATTTATATTTGTAATATAAACATGCAAGTGTGAGTAAACTGAGACAGACTTTAAATTTTTTTTTACATCAGCAATAGTCACATCGCAGGATATGCAATGTTGAGTCTGAATTAGTTGACCAGGAGCTTCAGAATTGTATTTAATCTCTGTACTTATATGAAATTTATACGAGATATATATATATATATATATATATATATATATATATATATATATATATATATATATATATATATATATATATATATATATATATATATATATATATAAGAGATATAAGAGTTTTGTTTTGCTTGTAGTCCAAATATCTACATTCCAAAGCGAAAACAACATTGTTTTACTTACCTCACTGGCAGAAAATTTACCTTGTTTTAACTCATAATTTTGAGATTTCTCCTAACAATTAAAAGCTAAACAACATTTTACATGATTTTTTTCATGTTTGGATTAGAAACGAGACAAAGAAAAGCATTTTTGCATTGTGATTATTTCATTACTGTAGCTTAACACTTAGGCTCTCCAGAAAAGCATCAAAACGTGCTATTCAAACCTTCAAATCTTGTGTAACTGTTCGTATTGCAATATTTATCGCAGAGAAGCGATATTAGAATATTCGATATTTCCAATATTGTGACCTACTGGTGGGCCTTTCTACAAAATAAGTACCAGTATAGTGCTTTCGAATTCTGTTTCATTTTAAAAAAAAATTATTTCATTTTAAAAAAATCCTATTTTTTATCCACTGAAGAAAGTCCTCGAGTGATGCGGTGGCACAGTAGGTAGTGCTGTTGCCTTACAGCAAGAAGGTCACTGGTTCGAGCCTCGGTTGGGTCAGTTGGCGTTTCTGTTTGGAGTTTCCATGTTCTCCCTGTGTTCGCGTGGGTTTCCTCCGCCGGGTGCTCCAGTTTCCCCCACAGTCCAAAGACATGCAGTACAGGTGAGTTGGGTAAGTTAAATTGTCCATAGTGTTTAAGAGTGGATTAGTGTGTATGAATGTTTCCCAAAGATGGATTGCAGGTTGAAGGGCATCCACTGCGTAAAACGTGCTGGATAAGTTGGCGGTTCATTCCGACCCCGGATTAATAAAGGGACTAAGCGGTGAAGAGAATGAATGATGAGAAAGTCCTCATATACTGAAGGTTTGAAGCAACACTGTATAACGATAGATTTTTGAGAATTTAAACCATCCCTTTAAGATGTTCTCATTAATAAAATTTGAACTGAATTTAATTTCTTTACTGTCATTTACCCAAGTTCATTGTTTTGACTTCTAAGATCAGTAGTTGATGTATTATTGTAGTCTTGTGACCACATTGTAGAAATGTTTTAAAAGTTGTATCAATCATATTTTCAAGTAATTTTAAATTACTTTAAACTGACTTCATCATGTTGATAAAAAAAAATCATGTTGATATTTTGTAACTTAAAAGTTGAAACATAGTTTCACTAGTAAAGTCACACAGTAAAGAAACATAAAATATGGTCATGCTTGCAGTACAGAAATAATGGATGTTTACCTGGATCTGAGAACAACCACATTTACTCATTTTAGGAACATGGAATGATCAAATAACAAAAAAAGCAAGTATTTTATGAAGTACATTTATTGAATTTCCGCAGTACAAAAATAAACATGCATACCTGACAAACAGATCTAAGAAGGTGTACAAGCGAAAGCAATAAAATCTTATTGGTTTAAGCCAATCAGCGGCTTGTTAAAGAGCTTGGGGGAAGTGAGGTAGACGCGCCCGAGCCCTTTAACAAGATTTGTTCTTGACTCGACACACTTCGTCAAGCTTATTACGGTTTAATGTGATTTTACCATAAGCCTTGTTTTATTTTGAATGTTCGCTGACGTAAATGGCTGGAACAAACAGATTAAAACATTGAGAAGGTTGAAACGGCTCAATGGAGAACAATCGTTGAAAGACGTTGGCTTCATTACAACAGACATCGCGAAGCTCTATAGATAGTCCTGCTCTACAGCGTGTATTCAAAATGATAGAAAATTCCATTATATAGAGAAGCTAATTCATGAAAAATCTATGTAGTTCCTTAAAAAACATCTGATCTTTAAAAATATATACAAGCTTCAAGCTCAGGCATGCACTCATCCAACAAAAAAACTTTACAGCAATTTGTAAAATTTTGATTACGTCAGTGGCTAATTTGTGTTTAGGAGCAAATGAAGCCAGATGAATTCATTATTCTGAAAAATATGGGTTGTTTTAACTCAAAGTTGAGTAAATATTGACAAACCCAAAACGGTTTTAACCAAATCATTGGGTTTGTCCACATTTTACCAAACATTGGAATGAAGCAACCAGGCATTTATTACAGCGTACAAGTCAATAATTCAAAATGACGAAGACTAGAAGAGTCTTGTCTTCCATGACAAAGAAACAAACTGTATATGAACATATTTCCTAAATTCAATCTTATTTTTGGGCAGGTGAATCTTGGGCAGAAATCATTCATAGAAGCATCAGTTTTTCTAAAAACTGACAGTACTCTTTTAAAGGGATTATTCGCCCAAAAATGAATATTCTATCACCCTTTTTACATCGTTTCAAACCATGAGTTTCTTACAGTTGAACACAAAAGAAGATATTTTGAGAGAAGCTGTAATCATTTACACTTTCATGGTATTAGTTTCTTTCTACTATGATATACGGTAAAAATACTATGTTTCTGACGGTATGATAACCTTGGATAAAAATATCACAGTATCTCGGTATTGTGATTACTGCTCTAAAATAAGTTCTTTTTAAATGTCTGGGTAAGAAACAACATTTTATTCTATTACAAAAACAATATATTTCAACATATTAAAATGTTTTGGAAAAGTAAACATGTCAGGCTTAATAATTAAAATAAATAATTGACCTCTGCTGTCTTCATTACTTTCAAAAACACAAATTTCTTCAAAAACACATTAAAAAACCTTACATGTAGCAGTTTTAAAAACTTGACTTTTCTGAACCGCAGTATATACCTTGAAACTGGTTATCGTCCCATGCCTACAATGGAAGTCAATGTTATCAGCTTTCTTCATAATAGCCTATCTTCTTGAGGTCTAGCGTTCATTAACGTTTAAAACCACTTAAGGGTGAGTAAACAATAATTTTTGGGTGAACTATCCCTTTAATACTGTCATACATGTTTTTTACTTCGTTAGACTGTGTTTTATTTACAGGTGCAAGAGTGTAAAAGTGGCGGTTTTATGACAGGAAGTGGCCAATCAAGAATGACATCATGAGTCCAAACACTGTCACGCA